AAAAAACATGAAGCATAAACAAACAATATCAAATACCCAAACACACAGGCGACAAAGAACTAGACCATGTAACAACTCTTGAAGGTTACAGTAGCTGGCAAATTGTCACGCCCACTAAAAGCCAAAGTGCTGAGACAAAAAAACAGTGCAAAATTTAAGAGGGGTTGTCAAGAGGTACATCTCAGCTGAACATGCCCTGTGTGGCACATGAACTCCGGTGGCCGCCACGCGCATGCACCGCGTGCATCACACCTAATTTAGTTTGTCCAACTCAGATCTCCTCAAAAGTGTCTGATTTAAGGCAGGCAGGCAGGCATGTCTGTGTTCAAGTTGAACCCCAAATCTGCACCAATGCACCACGTGCAGCACACATAATAGATTAGTTTGTCCAGAAGTGTCTCCTTGAAGCTTCAAAAATGATCCTTCAATGACATGAAATAACTAGACATTCATGAGACTCTGGTGATGCCTTGCTACAAGTCCACTGCAATGTGACCCAGTTCTTGGCACCTCCACAAGATGCCTCAAAACCACTTTCAAATCGTTCTATATCACTGCTTGAACCCCATGGGCCACCCGGCCATTGTTCATCTGGGCCTCCGGATCCGCCCGGGCCGAAAGGAGCCGCTCCACCACGTCGGAACTGCCGTTGCTGGCCGCCGCATGAAGAGGCCTCTCACCTCGGTCGGTGGGTTGTTAAGGTGATTGACCGGAGCAGCGATGGCCAGGAAACCCGAGCAGGGCGGAGGAGCTCTGGAAAAGACATGGATAATAAGTTGAGTGGAAGAGTTCACGGCTTTGGATATGGTGAGTGCCCAGATTCTTGTGTGTTTGGGTGCCAAGGGCTGAGGTGCCCTCCATGGCCCCGGCCTTTCCGAGGCGTGAGACCTCTCCATGTCGCGGCCGGGAAGGGGCACCTCTCCGTGGTGGACCGGCTCTTAGAGGCTAAGGCCGAGGTGGAGGCGGAAGAAGACGAAGACGGCCGGGCAACCTATCGTGGGGGGGTTGGGAGGAGCTCCGGCCGACGCCAAAAGGGGGTAAGTTGAGTGGAAGATTGGTCGAGAGTGGAAGCCGAAGACCAGAATTGCTAGCAAGGCAAAGACCATCAAGGCGGAGAAATGGGGCGAAGCTCCAGTTTCGCGGCCATGAGGTGTCGGATTAGACTAGTACGGCCCCTGATCAGGCCACCACCATTTGGGCATATGTGGGCATAACGACTGTACTGTGTCCTATAGGAGCAGTGCAATTATGTTGCAGGATTCCAGGCTCAAAGTTCACACAATGGGCACTCCAATCTGAACAGCACGGGACCAACACCTGCAGACAATGAGCAGCAGTTTGTGTGCTTCTTTGAATAAGTGGCATTTCCGTCAGTTGCAAATAAGAAACCACCACTGAAAGAAAAAAGCAACTCGAAGAACCTTCTCCAAAAAGAAGGTTGCCCTCCCACCAGGCCACTGAACCAAACTTAAATGAATTGAAAGGTGGTCTGAACATGTCTGAACACCTCTTAACCTAGAATGAATTGCCCGGTACATGCGCTTCGAGTGCTTCACTCTTTCGGCCCTTGGGGCTCCCTGCCGTTCTTGTCCTCTGCTTCCAGCGAGGCCTTTGCGGCCAAAAGAAGGTCGACCACCGCCGCGCTGCCTGCGAGGTGGAGGGGTCGAAAGCCTCAGCACGTTGAGTTGACATTGTTTGGCTCAGCACGTTCCCTGCGAGAAGAAACACATTCTTCAGAACTTGCAACATATTGGCACGTCCCTTTTTTGCAGGGGGCACCAGGTGATGCAACTTGCAGCTCGTCACAGTAACATCCAGAAACATCCTTCATCTGCAGTATCATCCAGTATCTAAGTTCACCTGCCATGCTCCTGCAAAACCTTCCCCAACTGTTGGCATTGCAATCCGGCGCGGATCCAGGTATCTTCAGCATGATCTGCAAATTGCTTCCAGGGCCCCTGGCCTTCCTCGTCCTCAAGTTCCATGTCCTCTCCAGCTTCGAGGAGCCGCTGCACTTCGGCCGCATCGCCCTTGAGGGCTGCTCGTTGCAAAGCGGAGCGACCTAGGCCACGGTGGTAGAGTCACTCAACTCGGCTTCCCGGAGGTTCTTGCATTGTGAATTTGTTTGAATCCATGCTCGAACCGTCTCGGATTTCACTGGTGGGAGTCCGGGGTTTCGGTGCAAAACCTGCTATTATTCATCTTTCTTAAGGTCTTTGAACGATCGGATGTACTATTTGTTCCTTGGAATCGCATTGACATGGTGCAGTAGGGAATGAGGAAAGCCACGTCTACAGGATCCAACACGACAATGATATCTCATCACTTGCATCAAACACATCCAGCGGCTGCTGCCCGGTCTCGGTTCTGGTGCCTGCCGGGCGGTCTACGACTGTAAGTGGAAGCCTAAAATGCCTAAAATGAAAAGAATGAAGCGTCATCACGTACTGTCTGGGTTATGTTTCATTCACCC